TACTAAGCATGTTTTTTCCTCTAGAATCTTAGCATTAGAAGACAGAGCTAGAACCTCAGTTCAGAGCAAACTAGAAGAAAACAAAGCTTTCTTTATGATAGCATAACCTGTGGTATGCTAACTGTTGAGTCACGGCCTGAACCACTGATTGATCACCTGGGGAAAGGACCTGGTCAGCCCTGGGAGGACAGGTGAAGGCAATTCACATGTGACCAGAAAGGGTGGAGCCTGACTGCACCTCTCTGACTTCATCTAAAGTCTGACTGCCACTGGGGAAGGATCTCTGGCTGGAGATCCCTCCTTTGTGGAGTTTTCCTGAGTTTCAACAGGGTCAAGTGTCGGGTCCTGCATTTTGGTTACATCAACCCTGGGCAACCCTACAGACTTGGAGAGGAGTGGCTGGAAAGCTGCCTGATGGAAAGGGACCTTGGTGTACTGATGGACAGTTGGCTGAATACGAGCCAGCAGTGTGCCCAGGTGGCCAAGAAGGCCAATGGCATCCTGGCTTGGATCTGGAATGATGTGGTGAGCAGGACTAGGGAAGTCATCCTGCCCTGTACTCGGCACTGGTGAGGGCTCACTTTGAGTACTGTGTTCAGTTTTGGGCACCTCAGTACAGAAGGGACATTGAGGTGCTGGAACAGGTCCAAAGAAGGGCATTAAGACTTATGAAGAGCTTGGAGAATATGGCCTATGAGGAGAGACTGAAGGAACTGGGGATGTTCAGTATGGGGAAAAGGAGGCTGAGGGGAGACCTTACTGCTCTCTTCCAATATCTGAAAGGTGCTTACAGTGGGAATGGGGTTGGTCTCTTCTCACCAATGACAGGATGAGGGGAAATGGCCTTGAGTTGAGCCAGGGTAAGTTTAGGTTGGATATTAGGAAACACTTCTTTACAGAAAGGGTACTTAAGCACTGGAATAGGCTCCCCAGAGAGGTGGTTGAGTCACCATCCCTGGATGTGTTTAAAATCTGTTTGGATGTGGTGCTCAGAGATGTGATTTAGTGGAGGGTTGTTAGGGTAGTATAGTTAGGTCATGGTTGGACTCGATGATCTTTAAGGTCTTTTCCAACCTGAGTGATTCTATGATTTTTGAGGATTGGTGGGCAGTCCTTTTTCCTTCCCTTGTAACATCTTTCTATTGTATTAGTTTCTCTGTCATTGTATCTGTTGTATCACTTTTCCATTGTTTTGATCTTTCTGATTGTTACACCTGCTTTTAGTGAGAAAGCAAACATGCAGAAAGGAAATGCCAATGGGCAATTTCTATGATTTGGCCCCTTGTCTACTTTTAAAGCCCTCCTGGTCTTTTTGCTGGCAGATAAGAGAGATTACTCAGGTCTTAGTGAGTTCAAGGAGGTGGTTCCACTTAGGCTTGTGTGAGGCTGCAAAAAATCTCCAAAAAACAGATGGAATTCAAAGAGGAAATTAAGATGAGCCTGTGATCACGTTACAGACAATGTTTTTAGCACCATGGAGTAAATTGGATTTGGGAACTTTTATCCTTCAAGCATGTATGTCCAACTACCTTATTGGTATAAACTAAAAGGATTCCTTGAAGGAACATATTGCTCCATAGAAGGAAATACTTGACTTTTCAGCTATGCTAGCATAAACTTAGCTGCAGACGATATACATTTGATCATGATGTTTATTCTTAACCTAGTGTTAAGTATGAATCCTGACCAATACATGTATCCTAGAACAAGGGGCATACTTCTTTAACAGTCAGATTTATAAATGTGATTGTTGTCACAAGTAATAAATGCTAGATTATAAATACTTCAAGTGCTGCTTTGCTGAAGTCTTGCGCAGCTGTTTTTGAATCAGGCAAGGATTCTCCTTGCAGTTCTGCATACTCGCTCTCTTTTTCTTTTGTCTCCCTCCATCTGTCCATTATTTCAACTGCTGGTCATGTTGGCCTCACCGGGTAGCAATGTGCTCCATTAGGGGAGGTTGTGCTGCGTACCACAGGTACCTGCACAGAGCTTTAAAGAAGGAGACAATGAGCAAGGATAATGTGATAAGAATGTTTTTGCTTTGTTTTTTGTTGTTGTTGTTGTTTTACTTTTGTTACTACCTGTCTTCAGCAGCAGATTGTGGCTGAGCTCTTCAACATATTCTCTGCCTGAGTCTGTTCCCAGAGGTCAAACGTTGTAGATGAGACTAAGAGTTGGGATGAGGTAATTGACAGTGTGAGATGGAGTTGTGTGGCTCTAAATAGTTATTTATTTCTGTCAAGAGAACACTTGAGATTCCCTGTGCTGTGGTGACATCTCCCTCTATTCCTGGTTATTTTTAATAGGAGCTTTGTCTTTTTAAAGAGGGAGTGCTTTCCAAGTCTGAAATACAGTGTATCTCAAGACCTCTGAAGTTTGGTACGACATTTAAGGAGCCTGGTGGGACTTCTGTGAGGCTTGGCTGGGATGACATCAGTTTATTATAGGGTACGTTTCATTTTTGACTTTGCAGCAAGACAAAGTAACCTTTAATTTCTGTCATCCTGCATCCAACTATAGGATGTGAGCTAACTAACCAGAAAAACTTCTTTCCCTGTTTCATATACAGCACTGGAGAATGTGAAGGAAAAAATGTTACAGGCTATTTAAGATGATCTACTAAGTACCAAAGAGGAGCAAGAACTTCATCAGAACAGAGAATCTGGCCTTTATTTTTACCTTTTGGGATATAAACATCATAACTATTTTACTGTTTCTAATAATTAGGGAGCAATAAATTGAAAATGTCTGACTTAAAATGTACATTTTAACAAACATGTCATCTTATAAAAACAACCAGGAGAGGAAGCAATCTGACCGTAATTCCTGTGATCAGTCTCAACTTATTTTACGGCTTACAATTTTTCTCTCGCTGTTTTATTCATTTGACATCCAGTGATAAGACAATGAGCAATGGGTGGAAGCTGGAATATAGGAAGTTCCACATGAATACAAGTAAGAACTTCTTCACAGTAAGGATGACAGAACGCTGAAACAGGCTGCCCAGCTAGACTGTGGGGTGTCCTTCTCTAGAGACATTCAGAACCCACCTGGGCATGTTCCTGTGTGACCCGATGTAGATGTTCCTGCTCCAGCAGGGGGATTGGACTAGATGATCTTTCAAGGTCCCTTCCAATCCCCAATTCTGTGATTTTTATTTTTATTTTTTTTTACCTATTGTCCTTGAGCACAGACTTTTTTTCAAATAAAAGCTTTCATTACTTGTGGCTCTGGCTCTGAGATATTTCTAATTCTTTGTTCACACAACCAGGACTACCCAGCTGCATGTACATGTTTATTTCTGTTTATCTCACCTGGTGATGTTTTTTCTATTCATATTTATCAGCACACTGCATCCTAACTTGTCTTCCTTATGGATGCTTATCCATGAAGTTGCATCCTCAATTTTTTTTCACCATAACTATCAATATGAGCTCATCAAAATGCACTAACTCCATTCCATACAAAGGGCACAGGTTTATTTAATTTAAAGTATATTTTGAGTAGAGTTGTTACCGCATACATTTTAGAGGTTTAATTTTGGCCAGGTATTGCATGCTTACACAGTACTCCAAGCATTTTTAATTGCACTTCTGCAAAAGTGTACTTACAAGAGCTGAGGAGAAGGGGACACTTTCAAACATTTCTAATCCTTTTAAGACTAACTTCATATACAAACATTACATCCATAAAATTAAATTAATTTAGATATGCTTTAATTAAAACTAACTTCTTGAAACAATGTTCATAGACTGTATGGATAGTATCTTCAAACAAATTAGTAGAAAGTTGTATCAAACAAACAAACACGATGGTCATGCAATTAGTTTAACTGCTACCTCAGCATAGTTGTATCTGTGATTTTTGTTGTCTTAATTTCCTTCCCAAGTGATATAAAGCTGTAGAAAGATCTTCCTCTAGGACAATAAGGGCTTCTGCTCAGCTTGAGGAATTAGTCCATTGTTTAGCACTTACACGCTACTTACAGGTTTGTACGTCTGTTTTTTCTTAAGGCAAGTGGATGTAGAATAGAAAAATGCAGCTGCTGCAGAATATGAAGTTTTTTGTTGGTGTAAATTGTATCTGCTGGTATAAATTGGTTCAAAACTTTGGAAAATGCAGTCATATTCCAGCAGATGTTTGGGTGTTGCATGTATGTAGAGCTGTGCTACAGACCTTCTGTGGCCATGTCAGAATGATTAAGTTAGGTGCCTCTTCCCACATCTGCGGTCTAAGAGCAAGGCCTCCAGCTATCCTCCTTCTGAACGGGATCAAGCAATGTACTTTCTCTTTCATTGTGATTCTTGTTGGATTTTCACTTTCTCTCCTTGCTTCCAAGCCAGTTGTGTGTCTGGGAAACCAGTTAACTCAGCATCCAGTATCCATCGCCCATGCTGAGAGACTGCTCAGCACTGTCACTGAGCCATACCAGACCTAAAGCCCTCCAGAGAGAATAAACTGCTCATAAAATTCTGGCTTTGTCTTAGGAATGGTCTCAGACAGCGATGTGAGCTCGTGTCCCTTTCTGCCTTTCAGGTTGTTTTAGTTTCTTTTCACATGCTCCTGCCTCTCTGAGATGCCAACAAAATAGCTTCCTGTTCCGTTCAAAGCAAAATCAGCTGCGTTACTTTGAACTTTGAACTGTTACTTTTCAGCTACAAGCTCCCAGGAGTAGGGTCACAGTCAGACTCTCTTCCCTCTTGCTGACAACCGGCATGACTCAGTCTGCAAAGCATCAGCAGCGCTGGTGACTCAGCCATGTGACACGTGCTCCATCAGTCTACCTAGGCGTACATCAAAAAAAAAAAGCAGCAAATACAAGTTTTTTTCTACTGTGGGAAGACAGCTCTTTCAACCTGATAAAAATAAAATGTTCCAACCACTCATAGAAGGAAGTGAGTTTATATAGCTGAACACTTAGGTACCACTCCAGAACTGTCAGTATATTTTGTTTCTTTCCAGTGGGTTAAAAAAAAAAAAAAGCCTTTTCTTTTCTGTTGGATCTCATACAGTTTGAAAGATATATTTCAGCTTGAAAAAAATATTTCAACATTAAGGTATATTTTCCAAAAATCGATCCATATAAATCCTGTGGATAAGTGCCTAGTTCTGTCTGTAGCCTCTAAGAATGCTTGATTCCATTGCCTAAGTTCACTGAGCACATCCGACTGGATATCAGAGCACTTTTATCTTTCTCTGCAAAGTAATATGCAGCACGTGTTCCTAATCAGAAAGGACTTAGAAAGAAGATCCGAAGACAGAGGATATTTTATGCTGTTTATGAAGTTATATATCATGTTTAGGTGATATTTTATACCTGAAGAGAGTAATTCTATTTTCAGCCCACAGCTATCGTTCTCAGTACCCTGTGGAGTAAAGCTGTTTCCAGCACTGCTGATCTCAACCATGTGTTGAAAGTTTTCTCGAATACTCACTGACTTCAAGTTAACTAAATTCTTTCTCTTCTCAGTCATTAAATAAAATGGCTTATGCTGGTATTTTCAGACTTTGCTTTACTTCTGGTAAACATCTAATTTACTGCGTTATTTCATTTGCAGACAGACCCCCAAAATCCTAAGAAACATTTGCCAGAAGCATCAATTTTCTTCTGAGTGAACAGAGAGGTTCTGCTGGTGTTTGTAAGGTACAGATGACTTTGGAGACATCTATTTAAGTTGTAGAAGTTATTAAACACCATGGACAATTTCAAAGTTGAGTAAAAGAGCCAACACCTTCACTACAGTGGTGTCCCCCCAAGGGGAACCAACAAGAGCATGAAACAGCCTAAGAGTCTTTGGATAATCTACTCTGACAAATATCACATATGCAATCATATTTCAACTGCAAGGCGATCAAGTTAATTAATCCCTAGATTTCACACTGGCAGCAATTCAGAAAGTTGGAGCTCTGTAACAAATAGAGTTACCTTCTCTATTTGTAATGAGATATATACTGACACTGTGAGCAAACTGCAGAGTCTGTGCCCTGGAAACAATTTGCAGGCCATGCACTTGTACGAAATAGAAGGGAAATTATGCTGCACGTTTGTATTGCTGTAATTATTTGTATCTTATAGTGTGTCTAGAGCAGTGGGAACTATAGGAGACTTCAGCAAGAGTGAGATGTTAGCCTAACTGGCATTATGTTATCTGCCTTTGGGTAACAGAGGCTATGGAAGACAAGGCAGATTAATTAGAACTCAGATAACCACTGAAGCAGGATCTGCCCGATTCCTTGGCTCTGAGGTTTTCTGAACAAGCACCCCGCGCTGTGATTCACGCCGCACAGTTCAAAATCAAATAGTTGTGAGATCACAACTGATGGTTTCGATGAGCCGCGGCTTTGGCAGGGGCAGTAACTAATGGCACACCGGATCTTAAATGAATCATCAGTTTCCTGGAGACGCTTGCACGGCTACACTCGTGTTTTCTGCACACCGGAACAACAAAGGCGAGCTCATTGTGTGCCCGCCCGCGCCTGCCCTCACGGCGGCGTTACGTTACTTCCCGCTCTGCCGCACCACACGCGCCCCACACCGCACGGCGCAGAAGCGCGCCGCGCCACGCCGCGTTCCGCGCCTCCCAGACGGCGCATGCGCCGTGCGGCGGTGAGGCGGGAGCGCGACCCGGTGGGGTGAGGAGGAGCGGCCCGGGCCCGCCTTCTTCCTCCCGCTCCCTGGTTGGCGGCGAGGCCTGCGCCGGGTTCGGTCCGCCGGGCGCGAGGAGCGCGGAGCCATGGCGCAGCGGCGAGCGGCGGCGGACAGCGCCCGGCACCAGCGGCTGCTGGAAGGTCAGCGCGGACGGGCGCGCGGCCCGGGGTGGCGGTGCGGCGATAACGGGCGACTGCGGCGCTTGCGGGCCGGCGGGTGCGGCGGTGTGGAGCGCGCGTTGTTCGGCGCTCCGAGGGGAAGCGCGAGCAAAAGATGCGGTTCGTGGGCTGGGTGCTCGTCCTCGCCGCTGTTGCTCACCTGGGGGAGGTGGGGCGAGCGGGCCGGGTGGGCGCGGCGCCTCGGCCTTGGCGGGTCGGCCTGACCTCGCGGTGCGCGGGTGGCTGCGCTCGGCTCCGAGCCGGGCGCGGCTGCGGGGTCACCCGGCCGGCTCTGCTTCCTCGTGTTTCGTCATCCTGTCCGGGCGACTTGAAACGGCGGCAGGCTGGGTGCTCGCCTTCCTCAAAGTGTAACTACTGGATTTAAATAATAACTGTTAACTTTGTGTCTAATTCCAGGGAAAGCTCAGGCGGAAGGTGGATCAGCTCGAACGTCCCTTCTGATTTTGGTGTCCGTCTTCACAATAGCTGCTTTCCTTATGTTTCTGGTATATAAAAATTTCCCACAGCTCAGTGAGTAAGTATGCCAGGAAAGAAAACTGACCTGTTTTTCAGTCGGTATCAAATTGTGAAGGAGCCCACGTGTGGTTCAGTGGCGTTTAAACTGTTGTAAGTTAATTATAGACACTTTAAATTTTTTTTAAAGGGAATTTGAATGTATGATTTGGAATGTCAGAATACAAAATATGTTATTGGAATACACAGTAATGGGCAGGATCTCTTTAAACGCAGAGGAGTTGTGCTTGAGCCAGGGTTTCTGTTGCACAGTTGAGTTTGGGTGCTTCAGAAAGTTACAACTTGTCCCCTTAGCAATGGCAACTCTGTTCTTAACCTTCCTCAGCTGAGATAAAAAAAACATGCTTGGCTCGGTCTGTAAATAGTTTGGCAAGATAGAAGCCTGCTTGTCTTACAACTTTCTTTTCTTTTAGTAGTTAATTTTCTGTGTGATTAACTTGCTCAACAAGTTCAGTTTCAACAGTCCAGTCACTAAGTCTGATAAAGAGGAAGAGAGGACACTCAACTGTGCTGCCCAGGGTTGCACCAGATTAAGGTGTGACATAAGATTTCACTCTTAAGGCTTTGTTTGCTTGTGAGGTGACCCTCTGCTGCTGTTGCTGCACTTTAAATGTTGTGACCTTAGCATTAAGGCAGTTACAGTTGGTTTTGGCTGAAACACTGACTGCTGTTCAGTTGTCAAAGGTCAGGTTGGAGTGATGATTTATTTTTAATCAGTGCTTGGTAAAGAAAATAATGCTAGAAATAAAGCGAGGTATTGTAATGAGTAGAAAATATGGCCAACAAATATTTGAAATAGAGGATTTCTCTAATTCAAAAAGCATAAATAGATAGGTTCATGTGAGAATCTTACCATAAAAGTAGTGATGTGTTTTGTTTGTGGAGGTTGTAGTTCAGTGATCTTATGTATTTAATTATCTGTGTATTCAACAGCAATTTCATTATATTGTTTAAATATATCTCATACCATTCCTGCTTTCTTTTTTTCCAGAGAAGAAGGAAAATGCATAAAGATTCCAAGAGATATGGATGATGCAAAGGCCTTGGGAAAAGTCCTGTCCAAATACAAGGACACGTTTTATGTTCAAGTATTAGTGGCTTATTTTGCCACATATGTTTTGTATCCTTTCTCTGATATGAAAATATTTTTTTTCTTTCTGAAAGAGAAATGAAAAATACAAACTTGCTTGTAAACCTCTTGATCTAGAGAGAAGGAGGGTAATACTTGAAGGTATGTTAACAGGACAAGTTCCAGAACCTTTGAACTTCTGAAAACAACTAAAAACCTTACACGTATATGTTTCACTATGCTTATTAGATTGTAAGAAAGGAGTAAGTAGAAAGAACAACATGTACTATTTGCTACATGTGAATATGTGTGCAATTTGATTAAGATTTGCTTTCAGCTTCATCTGTACTTTATCTACTGTGGACAGTATTTTAACTTGCATGAGAGTCTTGGTCTTACTTCAGTGATACGCTGTCTTTAAAAACAAACTAAATTGCCGGATAGAAATGTCTGAATTTGTCTTCCTTAGACATCAAAAAGTGTTGCCTAAGAGTTGCAGAAGTTCTTAAATCATTTCTCAAGGGAAGAATTCTCATTTTAAAGTTGTCTTTTATCTCTGCAGTGAGCATTTAAAAAAACAAAAAAACCCCTAACGAAAAATACAAAAATGAATTTCTTCATTTTAGAGAGCTAGACTTCTGAAGTACTTCCTGCCTAGTGAGACACAAAGGCTATCTATTGTGTTAACGTTTTTTCTCCGAGTGCTGAATGTATTAATCATTAAACACACTCTTAAGTGGAACACTTAAGGTTAGTAACTTTAAGAAGGCTGGAAAGCTTTGTAGGGGATCTGTTGCAGTAGGGTTTCTGTAACTGAGAAAAATCAACATTGGATGTGTCAGTACTAATTATCCCCTAGCCCATTCCTTTTAAGATTAGTTCTCAGATAATAGATTATATCTGAAGAAAGCCGAAATGTTAGTTAATAAATAAAGTAGAACAGATTTGGCCTTTTATTGAACCATGGTAGCAGCTGATGTGGCTATCTTAGTGACAGATTGTTTAGTTGATAAGCTTGCTACAATGATCTCAGAACCTTGACACTTAGAAAAAGCTGTGTTGTCTGTAATGGACTTGATATAAAGGAATGCTCTTTGACTTTTTAGAATTTTGGTCAGTTCCAAGAAGTTTGTAATAGATGTAGGTCTGTGTGACCTCTTTAGAGTGGCTGGAATCTGCTTATCGTTAGTCAACAATGTAAAATCACAACTGTGTTTCCTGTTATCTTACAGTAAGGCTCCAGTGTCAAAGGTGACAGAGAGATGAAGAGAAGTGCACTGCATCTTTTATTCATTTATTGACTTATTTTTGTACCTGTCAATGATGTATCTATTCCTTTGCTTGGGCTGTTTGTGCTACTCTGCAGAAATATTTTGATATAAAGATCTTCTGAGGCCATACGTATTTATATGTACTTACGCTTTTCTGGATTGTGCTATATATGCTGACTTGTTATGAAATTAACAGTAAACAGACTTTCTTAACTAAGATGCATCCAGCTTGCAAACATTTGCTATCCCTGGGTCTATATTTCTCAGTATCCTGTCAGGGTTTCTTTATCCCTTTCCACTGGCCTTATTTCTTGTTTGTCTGGTAAGTATGGAAAAGAGTCTGTAAGGGTGTATGTTTTTATCCTTTTTTTTTTTTTCTAACAGCTTCCTGTTTGAAACGATCACAGGCTGAATAAAACTGTGAGTCTCAAGGAAATAAATGAGTTCTCATTAAGTTTTGTTAAGGATGTTACCCATAAAACTCATTGCAGCACTGGGTGATGATCCAAACAACTGTTTGTCCAAGTTTTATTAATAATGGAGGCAGCTGAGTGTTAACTAGCTGGAGAATTGCCTTTGCTTCAAATGTTTAGCATCCAGCAGAATGTGCCTGTAATTTCAGAACGTAAGTACTGCGTTCTTATTCATGTGCTGCAAAATGTACTTTTTCTTAAAATGGCATAATTATCCCAGAAGTTTAACTGAAGAAATGCTACTGACAATCTTCAGAAGATGTGGTAATGAACCTTACTAATTAAGAACTGCATAAATGAGTAGATATAGGGAGGACTAAGGTGATGAATTATCAAGTTTGAATCTCTCTTAAATGCTATTATGCCCCTTTTTTTTCTGCAGAGCTTTCATTGTTCAGAGTCTCAAAAGTACAGAAACACTCAATAATAACTGATAAGTAACCAGCATTGGCTACTTTGTGTCAATATTGATAAAATGCCTTGGAATTAAATAAACTGTCTTGTGTCAATAGAATTCTTAGGGAACAGGAACAGAGAGCTCTTCCTGATTAGTAGAGAACTGCATAGAAGCAGCCTATATCCAGACAGTGTAATTGTAGGGACACAGGGCTAATATTAATCAGAACTTTTCTGCCAATTAGTTGGTTTTTGTGTTTTCTTTTTTCAGTGTTCGGGACTTGGAGCTTCGTTCTGCTACATGCTTTCATACTTAGTGGGACGACCTGTTGTATACAAATACTTAACGGAAAAAGCAGTGAAGTGGTCAGAACAGGTAAAGTTCCTAGGTAGGCTGAGACTTCTGATAAAACAAAAAAAAAACCCATGTAGAATAGGATGGAAGGTAAGAGGATATTGCGTTCATACACCTACAAGGAATAGATTTTGATCCCTTTCTGACAGCATGCTGTTACTCCCTGGGTGGCATGCTAAAGCCAGTCTGGGAGCAGAAGAGGCTTTGATGTAGCCCTGGTATAAGGAGCTGGGATAGCCTTGAGGGTGATGTAAAGGACTGCGAGTAAAATACAGACTATTTTGTTCCTTGGTGGTGTTAATCTTAGGCTTTATAAAGAAAAGGCTGACAGGCTTTAAGACTTCTGGCAACAACTATCTGATGACCTTCATACCCGTGGCCAGAGTAAGCTTTCAGGCTAGGAATACAGCTGTTTTTGAGGTTTGATTACAGGTTAGGACAGAATGTGATGAGGAACAAGCTTCGTTGCCAGTTCTGCAGAGGCTTAAGGAGCAGGATGACAAGATGCTCGTGTTGATTGGACTGCAATTAGGGAAAGGTTGCTGAGCTAATGTTAGAATTAGGCCTGCTGCTGTGCTGAATTACTTGTGAGCTGATTCAGGCACACCATCTCCATGCTTTACCATGGACTGGTATTTCCAGACAAACTATGGTACTTTGTAATAGTGATTCACCAATGACTGACTCTTGTGTTGTCTTTTAACTGATCTGTTTGCAACTTCTGAATTTCTACAAAAGTTGCACAAAACATCTTAAATCCTTAATAGTAAAATCGTTGATTTCTTTTTGATGCATAGACTTAATTGATTTTTTCTTTTTTTTGTTTTTAGGTTGAACGTCACAGAGAACACCTCATTAACTACATAATATTTTTGAGAATAACACCATTTCTTCCTAATTGGTTTATCAATATAACATCTCCTGTAATAAATGTGCCATTAAAAGTATTTTTCATTGGCACTTTTCTAGGTAAGAATTCTGACTAGTGAACTACATTTTTGGTTACCAGAAGGAGCTTTATTTGCTTTACTTTCTGCATTGTTCAGTGGAGATCACCACCTACTGGACAGCTGAAAGATTACATGAGGATATTGTGTTATATTTCTTTGATGGGTGGAGCTTACACCATCAGAAGGCTTTAGTCTTCAAGTTTAATCCAATGTAATAGATGAGGTATTACAAACCCAGGCTGATTACTTAAGGAAATGTACATTGTGTAAACGCTTTTCTAGTAGTAATTTGTGTTGTTCTACTTCAGTGTGCTCACGTGAGGATATATGTGACTTTGATCTGAAGGATTGTTCCTCTCCTTTGTATGTGTTTTGTTTGTCATGTCTTCCTAAGAGCAAATTCACGACATAGTGCTAAGCATGTAGTTTTGTCTTTTTAATTGGGTTAGAAAACAACTTACAAACTTCTATGAGTGTAACTAAAACTGATTGGTAGAGACACCTCATAATTTGCGCAGTCTAGCATAGATATATAAATATATATATAGTCTTTGGTGCTTTAATTGGCATTAAGTAGTATTAAAAACAGCATAAACAGGTTTTGATATGGGATTGTCTTTGAATTTTCTATTTGTACGTACTGCTCTAAAAAAAAAAAAAAAAAACAAACAAGTCAGCGAAGGCTGAGGTTTTGATGTTAAATGTTGGATGATTAATTTATCAATATTTTTTTTCTTTCCACAAAGCTGCTGCTTCTTTCTTTCTTATCCTACCTTCTGCTTTTTCCTTCCAGGTGTGGCACCGCCATCTTTTGTAGCCATTAAGGCAGGAACAACACTATACCAACTTACAACAGCAGGGGAAGCTGTTTCCTGGAACTCTCTTTTTGTTCTCATGATTCTAGCCATCCTCTCCATCCTACCAGCTCTCTTCCAGAAGAAACTGAAACAGAAGTTTGAATAATGATCAAACTGGACCCGAATTTCCCACATTTCATCTCAGGATTGGCACTTCTGATATTTGTATATTTGCTTTTCTATTGGCTCATAAGCATTTTAAAGGGAAGCTTGTGATGGTAGGAATGTCTTCAAATGAACACGTGGCCTGGGAGAACTATGTTCAGAAACGTACTGCGGACAGTTTTAAACCAAACCATCAGTGTTCTGCTTTGGGGAGTGAGGATGGTATGCGTGGCCCTCAGGATGAGGGAAGTGAAAACAGATGTTTTGCTCTGATAATATGCAGAGCAGAAGTTGTAATGTAGACGTGAGCTACAGATTGCTTTCTAAAACTTGCAAGAAAAAAGAAATCCTTAATTATTTGCTCAGATTTTGTAACATTGTCAACATTTCTATAGCCTTGAGTGTGATCTGATCTGAGCGTACGTCTCATCAACATTTTTTTTTCTGGAATTCCAAAATAATAGCATAATACAATAACGGTGCTCACTCAAACTTATTTTTTCTGAATAGTTGTGTAACTACGATAATACATTCATCCTGATTGTTTACTTCTATTAGTGCTGTATGGATTTAAATACTTGAACCTACATCTGCTTTATTAACTGGATTAACAAAGGCAATGTGTCAGATCATTCTGTCTCATTCTAATTTTTTTCTTTGGGGGGGAATGTAAGAGAGCAAGCTAGAATTCTTACTGTGCCCAGCAGATGTTCTAATATAACTTTTTTAATGTTCATCTTGCCAATATTTCACTTGCATACATTTATCCTGCAAATTCAAGAAAATGCTCATATTTATATAAAACTTTAATTTCAAGTGAATTAAGGATGTATAAGTTTAGTGTATTACTAACGTTTCTCAAGCATTATACAGAGAATGTACAGTTTTTCATTGTAGCTCAATTGGCTAGGAGCATCAGGTACATAAATTGGTGCAGTTCTTATAAAATAGCTGGTTCCAAATACTCTTCAAAGCATCAAGTAACAGAATTTGGTGAACATACACGAGATCAGAAGGATGATTCCATTTTCTGGCAAGTTGGTAACTGGCAATGGACAACCAGCTACAATTTATCTTCAAAAATATGCATATAACTATTCACTAAATAAGGTGCGTGGTACCTCACCTTGTATGGTTATAACTGTTGTAGTCTGTTGTATTGTCAGTGGAATCCTGTAAAATGAGGCCCTGATCAGCAAGGAACTTGGGTGCGTGTTTAAGTTTATCCTACTGTAACCAGTGCTGCTTATAGTCTTTAAGTTTCTGCCCCTGAAGTACCTTGCTGAAACACGAGTTGGCACGTTAGCATATGCTCTAGTTCAAGGGTTTACTTGTCTGTGTCCTCATGTTAACTCATCATACAAGAGATCATTTGAGTTGTAAGAGAATAGTTTCCTAAATGGGATAATGTGAAAGGTACTGGTACCTTTTTAAAGAATCTTGTTCTTTTTGTAACATAATGTTGATTGACTCAATTTTATTGCAGTATTATGTGTAAATATATAGTAAATACTGATGAACTATTTCTGTCTTTTATTTAAATCTGGGTTTTATATAGGTAACTTCTGTTTACAAATTTATTGTAAGCATTGAGCTTGTTTTCTTATTTAGAATTTACTTCATTTAAAACTTAATGATTTTTTTTTTAATTGCTGTGATTCTAATCTCAGAGCTCATCTACCTAGAGGATTTGTTCCATAATAAATAGTAGCTGTTGTGAGCCAAGTGCCCACTGGACTACTGAGTGTGAAATAGCTGTAGATTTACAGCCCATTCATCTGCAGAGTTAATTTTTCATGCAGCTTAACTCAGAATAAATTACCTGTTGCCCAGTGGCTTTTCTGAAATTGCCTCAATTTTTGTCATTAACAGATGCTGTTGTAGAATTCCTTCAACACTATATAAAATTAATGTTTTGGTGGAACCTTGACACTAAAGAAGGACTGAACTTTATTTTGTATGAATCATGCTATCACTTGGCACTTTTATTGAGTCATGTTTCACTGTGTAGATGGGATCAAGGTACAATACTGAAAAACCTGTTTCAGTTGTAGGCAGAGTTCCCAACACAGTGACTAAAAGCCTTAAAACCTTAAAAGAAATGAAAATAAGGTTATTTCTATTTGCAAAACCTTAGCTTTTTTTTTTTTTTTTTTTTAAACCTACCCCTTCCATGTTTATCTTCAGCTTCCATTGCTCAGGCAGTTCCCTATCCTATGAGGACTACTGAAGTAGTTGTGAAAAGGCAGAGACGTGCTGTGCTGTGGAATAAGGTACCATCCCAGTCTTTGTGGAATCCAGCCAGTGGTCTGAAAGATAGCCATAGCATACCAGAAGTAAACTGGCAAATCAGGAAGATATAGTTGAGTTAAGCTACAAAAAATTAGAGGTGACCTGACTTTGACCTGTTTATCTTCTGGAATTTTATGTAAATTATATCTGCATGACATCCTTACTAAATGCATCTTGTCATTTGATAATAAAGCTATTATATTAAATTTGAAATATTGTATTTTTTGAGTATGATGAAATATGCTGAACTTTCTTCTAATCTAAATTTTTAATTAATTATTTAAGAGGGATAAGTTCTTTTGAAGTGGTATTTTTTAAATGACTTTAAAAATTAAACTGAACTGATGATTATGTCTGTGGATGGGATTCATTCTGTTTGTATCTTTATTTCAGAACACCTGGATAAACTTTACCTCCTTCTGCCTGGACGTTATTTCTTTATGTACAACAATAATCTCTGAAGGTTTTTATGCTTTGCAGTATAAGACAGTTTAGCTCATTTCATCTCCTCAAATAGAAGCATTTACGTAATTTAGTTTTTCTGCTGTGAATTCCTGATGGGAGATTAACATGCTGAACTTGTTATAGCTTCATTCACCTTCCCTTAATGTTATGTCTGTTTTATGGAGTTGTTTTTTTTTTTTCAATTGTATAGAAAATTGATCTTGAGGTAGCAGCTGCTCAAGGACAGAAATACCCAGCAGGTACTGCAGGTACAGTTATTACAGAAAGCAGTAATTCATCCCTTGGGGAGCAGTCAACCACTGCATTGACCAGTGCACTAACCGTGAAGAGAGAGTGGGCCTCCTTCTCCCTGAGCTGTGTAATAACATTGGAGTAAGTGTTTGTTTTTCTTGCCTACTGAGTTTAACAAACGTGACTTGAACAGGTACAAATCTGTTAGAAGACGCCACGTGAAGTCAGTTTTATAAACAAAACTGTTGACTAGACTCAAAAGATGCTAGATATTTTAATATCTAGCAAATCTGATCTGATGTACTTCCCTTATTAATGCATAGGTTATGATTTGATTTTACAGAGGAGTTTCAACAGGTATTCTAACTTTATAACTTGCTACGAGAAGTTAATGTTATTCTGTCATGGGAAGTACTGCCGATGCAAAAGATGAAGAGTACCTTTATCTTTCTGAGCTTACCTCATCTTGGGAAATGATTGCACAGAAAAAGAGCTGATGCTCTGTTTTAGACTTCACATTTCTCTGAGAAGAGTTGAGTGAAACAGTCATTTTCTATTTTTTTTAACTGCGTATTAAACAAACTCCTCCAATAATCATGATTGTTGGCAAAGTAAGTCCAAATTAACTAGTAGGAGGAGTAACCAAGTTATGTTCACATTCTTTCTCTTTAAAATAACTTGCTTTTTTTGTCCTTACGACTTAAGGCTTGAGTTTGAAAATCCCAGCCTTTGCCTTTGTTTGAAAACAGCAACTGAGCCAACAGCAATAGTCTTGCCAAAGGCAGTGAATCTTTTAAATCACTTCCTACTTGCTAATATGTTATTGTGATTCTCTGGTAAGCATAATTTCCACAGATTTAAGACACTTAATTTAGTAAACATCATGCAGAACACTTTCAAAAATTCTCAGTACCATTGAGAGTGTTGCCTCACTTGAGAACATCAGTCAGTTTGCAAAGTTCACTGGCAAAATGGTTGTGTTTTAGGTGTTCTCTGTGTTGGGAACAGGGGTCAAGAAGACTGAGAAATGAAAGCTGCTAGCCTTTGAATTAAGTGTTAACAGACGCTGTGTTCACTAGGCATGAAATGAAATAATCAGGAAGATGCAATAGGAAAGAGGTTGCCACTGACAAAATGAGAAGACAGAGCTCTAGCTGTTTGAACGCATCAAGGAAATGCCTAGAATTAAGACAGACTAAGAAAGCAGCTTATCTGACAAATTATAAATGAGCCTTTCACAGCAAAAATTACAGTGACTTTTGATTATTAACCTTTTATTGATTCAAATTCTTGCAGCTGCTTCCCTGTTCCTTTCTTGTATCTATTCAAAGCAAATCTGAATTTCTTAGTTTGAGACTCTCCTTTTTAAAAATAATTTTCTGTCCTTTACCTTTATGTTGTATAGCAAGGTGTGGGTTCTGTTAAATACTGCTATTCAACTGTGTTTCCAGCAATTTGCCTACTTTCTGGCCTATCTACCTTTACTAGCTAAATCTCCTAAGTATGTGGCTGGAGCACAGGTGTGGTCAGGAACATATTTTATTTCCCCATTTCACTCTTTATTTGACAAAACAAACACGAAAATACTTGTGGCACTTCCTCAGTTTTCTAGCACTGCCTACTACTAAACCATGCTTCTGAGTACTACATCTACACATATTCTAAATACCTCCAGAGACAGTGTCTCAACTTCTTCCCTGGGCAGTGTGTTCCAATGCTTCACAACCCTTTCCTGATTTTTTTTTTTTTTTCCTGATGTTCAATCCAAACCTCTCCTGGCATGAACTCAAGGTCATTTTTTTTCTTGTCCCGTAGTTTGGGAGAAGAGGCTGACCCACCACCTTACTTACAGCCTCCTTTGATGGTAGTTGTAGAGAGTGATAAGGGCTCCCCTGAGCCTCTTTAGGCTAAATAACCTCAATTCCCTTCAGCTGCTCCTTGTAAGCCTTCTTCTCTAGACTTCAACAGCTTTGTTGCCCTTCTTTGGATGTGTTCCAGTATGTCAGTGTTACATTTCTAAGAGTTAAACTACAGAAATGAAGCTTATCACATTCTGAACACGGAGTCCTTTGTCAGGTCAAAAGCAGACCAAGGAGTAAAATATGCATAAAATGCCTAGCAAATGTAGCAGAATAGGAGCAAGCAGATCTAGCTAGTTCTGTTCTCATTGCTGTCTTCCTCAAACCACAAGGCATGCTCAGGGTAGTCTGAATGTACGTGCTCGCTGTGGAGTTGAGACTTCCTATTACTGCATCTAATTATCTTTCTATCTTTATTGAAATCTCTCCCCTAGGCTCGCTAGCGGTTTAAAATTGAACTGTCAGAGCTGTCAGTCAAACCTTAGCAATAGTTTCATTCATTGATAACCCATTCTGTGGCCTATACAGTCTTAATCAAGCAAATCCTAATAACACCAGTTCTTCTCACGGCTTTTCCTATTTCCCAGGAGGATGGAAAAGCTGTCTGCAGTTCTCTGGGGAAGACGGCTTAAGAGCCCAGTTAATTGTGCTGCGGATGGCCGTCTTACTGTTGTCTCCAATGCCCACACAGCACTGGGAACTCGCTGCGTCTTCACAGCGTGGACTCAACCGTGCAGAGCTTCACGTGTGTGCCGGGCTGTTAACTCGATTAATTCAGCATTCCGGGTGTCATCTTAAAGATAATAATCCTAAAAGACAGGCAGATGTTTTCTCCTCTTATATACAAGCCGTGCTGAGCTGAGGGGGAAGTGAACACAGGGAAGATGCGTGATGTGAAAGGTGCCGTCAGATGGAGAGGAGAGGCGCTAATTTTAGCGCGGTGAGGCGATCCCGGAGCGCTAAGACATGCCCTCATCGCACAGCACGGTGCGCCTGGCGCGTCCCTCGGCGCTCGGCCTGAGTCATTCTCGTTCTTTGTCCCCTGTTCCTCAGGAAATGTTTGTGGGGCAGATTTCTTGCACTCAGCTGCGCGAACGCAACTGCTAGCAGTTCCGTCTGTGGCAGCAGAAAACAACGCAGCTCCTGCTGCCTGGGGGGAGCTTTTCTAACAGCCCCTCAGCCGCCGTCCCGCGGCGCTGTGACTCGGATCTCCCGTCCCTCACAGCTCCCACCCCTCACGGCGCCCGTCCCTCGCACCCCAACCCGCTCCCCCCGCCCCGCCGGGCCCAGCAGCATGACGTCACCCCGAGCGCAGTGCGCAGGCGCAGCATTGCGGTCCCTCGGCCCGCGCCGCCCCCCCCCGCGGGAACAGCTGGGGGCCGTACCCACAATGCCGCGCGGCGCTGCCCGCTCCGCTCCATCATGGAGGCGGCCGCCGCAGCTGGCGCAGCTGGCGCAGCCCCGCTGCCCGCCGCCGCCGCCCGGCCCCGCAGCCCCTGAGTCCCGCGCACCCCTCGGGCTCCAGCATGAGCGGCGGCAGCGGGGGCGGCTCCTCGGCACCCGGCCGCTTCGCCGACTACTTCGTGATCTGCGGGCTGGACACCGAGACCGGGCTGGAGCCGGACGAGCTCTCCGGTGAGTGACCGCGGGCGGGGGTTGGCGGCCGTTACCGGGACGCAGCCGGCGGGCGGCCGCCCCGCCGTTCTCCACCCGCGGCCCTCAGCGCCGCGTCGCGCGGCCCCGGGCACGGCGGGGGGCAGCGGCACGGGGCGAGGGCCGGCGCGGGGCTCCGGTTTGGGCGCCCCCCGGTCCGGGCGGCCGGGGCCCGCGGGGCTGCTCGGAACGCGGCGGTGCCCGTGGGAGCGTGCGGAACTTCGCGCGGAACGCGACCGAGAGCCGCTTCCCAACGGCGTGGGGAAAGCAGGGGTGCAAGGAGAGGGGTGGGAGGAGTTGTTATTTGCGAGCATCTCGGCCTCAGCGGCGATCTGCCGCGCTCCTCCCGGAGCGTGGTGGCACGCACCAACTTTTGGTGAGGCACCTGAGCTCTGGGTAATTCCTCCTCCAACGAGGGGTTGGATTTTAGAGAGAAAGTAACGGTTGTTTTACTTGCTCTGTTCTATTTTTTGACTCGACGTGGGATACGGATTCTCTTCCTGCAGCGCTTATCAGAAATAGCGTTAAGAACGGTTGGCTTTGTTAGAGAACGTGCTACGTGTGTGTGTGTGTGTGTTTGGGGCCAGCAGCGTCCTGCAGCGCAGTGCCAAAGCCCTGCTTTAGGGCTGCCCACCTGCCCTTTGTTGTGGCTGTGCCTGGGGTGAGCCTTGGTCTCGCTGCACGGGCTGCAATTGTGTCGGATTGCTGCGTGTTCAGAAAGGTGAACCATTGCCATGGTGAAAACTTGGCCTCCTTAGTGCTTGGTTGTGTGTGTGAGCTCAGAACCACTGATGATTTGGTTGGTTGGTTGGTTGGTTGTTTAACTACCTTGATTGTATTGTGTTTATTTGTTTAACTAACTTGGTTTTATAATGTGTGTTTGTTTTGCATCTGTCTTAAAAGCACCGTGTGAATTAATGCCTGTTTCTTGTAGGGTGAAATGTATGTTGTGGAATTCATCTCTTGCAATGAACTCTGCTCAGTTCGGGCTATGATGATAACTTTCTTCTTTTCATGACTTGAAAGGCGATTTCTCCTCAGTTCCTGATGCTGAGCAGGACCTTACCTTCACCCTTCTGTATGTTACAGTAGCTGCAGGCTACTGTTTGAGGATCCTATACAGTGTAATGGTCTGCACTTTAATGGCCTTTTAAAATATACCAGCAATTCAGTGTAAGAAATAGAAGAGAACAAAACGCAGCATAACTTCCTTGAAGGATATAGGTGATTCTGTTGTTATTTCCGAATTAAATCGTAAGTGAGCAAAGTTTCTAGATTAAAAACAGTTTCTAATGTTAATGTCATAACTCATTTACTATATGTCTACTTGTGTAATGTAGTGCATGGCACGCTTGCTGGTAGTCTCTGATCTCAGTGGGCACGTGAATAACTCATGTAATGAAATGCAAAGACATGGTGTTGCTTTGAGCTGGCTATCAAACAGTGATCTGGAAAAGACATCAGTGCCTTTTTTTAGTAATTCTCTTTGAATCTGCAATTGTGAGGGCTGGAGCATGGTGTTCTCTATTTGCTTTCCCTGTTAAGGACTGCACCTATAGCTTATGATGCTGTAGCATGAGATACCTTGCACTCCACTTTGCCCCATCTAATGGTGCTGCCAGTGATAAGGTGTGTGTGTTGTGATGTAGGAGGCTGGTCTGTGTGTGTTTGAGGAGCAGGTTAAGAATAAAAAAGAAGAGGGAGGAATGAGGAGAAGGAGAACAAGCTGATAATTCCCTGGAGACATTCAAGGTCAGGCTTGATGTGGCTCTGGGCGCAGCCTGGTCTGGTGGTTGGTGACCCTGCCCATGGCAGGGAGGTTGAAACTAGATGATCATTGTGGTCCTTTTCAACCCAGGCCATTCTATGATTCTATGATAATGTCCCAACAGAAGAGCTTGCCAGAATTCCAGTGCGTTTTGTTGAGTTTGTTGTGTTATTAATAATGCACAGTAGTGGCACTGATAATGCTTTCTAAATCATCTTTTAGGTTATAGCCTCCTCCTGTGCCCGCTGATACATGTGCAAAGGGCCTCTGTTGGTTTCAGTGGGTTTTGGGTCAGGCTTTGAAACACTCTGTACTTCCTGGAAGGTTTTCTTGTTTGAATGAAAGGCTTATTGTGGAGTGGGGCTTTTTGTGTGGCTGTTTTTTTTTTTTCTTATTTCTGGGCCGAAAAATAGGGCCCGAATCCTTGCTCTCTTGAGACAATCTGCTTCCGAAGCTTCCATTGTTGAGAGAGCGGCAGCAGCCCCGGCTGCCGGCTGAGGCTGCGGGTCCCCGCGGGGCTCCCCTGCACCAGGGCTGCGGTGTGCAGCCGGCACGGCATGATGTCATCGCCGCCCCGCCGCAGGGAGCGGGGAGCTGCCGGGCACTGCGGGCACCGGGTGCTGCCTGCAGGGCACCTGGCTGGAGAGGCTGTGGGCATTGCAGGCCCTCAGCCGTGCTGTTTGTAACGCGGCCTCCTTGCAGGCTTGTCGGTGGAGCCTAAGAGTGAGGATTGATGCTCGGTCTGGCTCCTGCTTGAGCAGATACCTGTGATAGCCTTTCTCCTTTGTGCGTTGGAAGCTTGCTAAACAGCACAGCCATGATATTTTTTTTCCTAAGTGATGGAAAATGCGCAGTTGATGCTAAATGTATACACACGTATTATTTTCTATCAGTGTGTAAAGTGATGTTTGCTTACTTGTGATATAATGAAAAATAGCATATGTAGGGCTTCCTAGTTAGCATGAGCTAAAGATGTTTTCTATAGCTTGGGCTCTTCTATGCACAGGTGTGAGGCGGTTATCTGGTTTTCTCAACATGATAATCGTGTTCTTAGTGGGGGGGAGGGGGCCTGTTAGAAGCAGGAGGCAGAATTTTGCTAGAGGGAGGTAGAACAAACCCACAGACAAACATACAGCTCCTGGGCCTTAGAGCTTACTGAAACTTCATCCAGCAGCAGTTTCTGTGCTGAACTGGAGAGGGTTGAGGTACGTTTCACGTTGATGACAAAGTGCTGGAAGTGATGACAGATCTCTTAGGTGCTGTGCAATATTTTGGGATGTATACTTCTTCAGAAAAGAAATGATGAAATACGTCAACTACCAACAATCTTTGTGTGTTGCAATTTATAATGCTGCAATATCATGCTGGGATTTCCTAATCTCTGTTGAAGAGCGTGTCCTGGAGAGGAGAACAAAGTGGTGCCTTGTCCTTCTGCTGGAATCCCTTCTGTGTTGAATTGCTTAGATGAGAGCTGAGTGGTGGTGAAAGTAGTACTTGTGCTGCACTGAACTGTTGGAATTGTTATTCCACGTTCTTTTTCTCTAAAGATTTTGTTTTCCTCTTCTGTGAGGCGTTAACCTTTACCAACCACTTGCCAGTAGTTTGTTTATTATGTAGTGGCAGAGCAATGGATGAAGTTGCTGTTGCATTACTTACATGTAAGTTGCCTTTAGATAATGTGAAATTCAGACACGAATACCTGAGTGCTGTATTCTCATCATTACTTTCAGTATTGCACGTGCCTTCATAGTAGTGAGTGCTGTAAAGATGGTAGTAGTTATTTCAGGAATAACAGCATTACACAGAGATGTAGTTGGAGAAAGAAAATGCTTATAATCTCTGAAGGATGATGATTCATGAACAAGATTACTGCAAAAACAAGAACAAAAAACTCCAACCAACCAAAAAAAACCCAACAACAACAACAACAAAACTAACCAAACCCAATAATATTCTGGAGACCAATGCCAATGATTGGTGTGTCACCCATATTTCTTTCTGCTGTTCTTCCCAGTCTGAACAGATCATAGAAGGAGCGGTCCTAAGATGAATTTCTTCAATAGGTAAACTCCTGTTTTTTTTACCAAGATCTATGTTTTAGTGCTTTGAGTTGTCAGTCTGACGATGGGCTTCATTCTTGAAGGAAGTTGCAAGCGGGTGTTTGGTGAAGGCTTGTGTCCAGGCTTTCTCCTTCCTATAGGGACTTCTAATGTCCTTTTTCAGAATCCATACTCACTTTCTATTTACTGTCTGGAAATATAACATATTTAAATATCCTTAATTTTCTTTGCTTGCGTTTTGTTTCCAACAGTGTTGAGGCAAGATCAGTGTATGTCAATGATGTAGCATCATGGGACCGATCAGGAGTAACGCATGTATGTGCTGAGACACTAGCTGCTTTATTAGTGCTGGTGTGTGAAATTCTAAGTGACGATGGGTGGTATTTATTTAGCTACACTCAAAATGGATCTGACAAACTGACATGAGAGCAAGTATTTCTCCACACCAGTAGAAGAGAAATGTTGTCTCACCTCATCCCTCTGCCAGTAATTGAAGTGCCGTTGTTTTTCTATTTTGCTTGGTTCCAGCTTAAGATGTCAACTTACCTTCATATATTGCCTTTTGGTAGCGTGTATGAAGTGTTTTAAGATACGGATATGATGATGTAATTGAGAGCATTGCTCAGATATATAAACCAATGCATGCCACATAGTAGTTCAGAATTGGTACAGCAGTTTCCTGCAGTAATGCTGTTGTTGGGTCCTGTGCTAGGCTGCAAGTTCAACACACTTAAGTAGTTGCAGATTTTCAGTTTGCCTCAGAGATACTTGTCAGGAGTGCCTGAAGGGAAGGCTGGAGAAGAAGAGCAAGAATAAAGCCCTTTCTGACTGATGTTTGGCTTTATTTATTTATTTATTTATTATTTTTTATTTATTTTTTATTTTCCTCTTTAGGACCTTTATCTCTGGGAATTAAGTAGTGCATTTTGGGGTTGGAGTGCACTGTGGTTTTTGCAGTGAAGTTCTACAGCACTGTTTCCTTGGCTAAATAGTGCGTGAGCACATTTTGCTGCAGCAATAGTGCCAGCACTCTCTGCAGAAACCGTGTCGATAGGAGCCACTGCTTGATTTCTCCATAAGCTGAAGTGTTTTCTTCCTTTTCCTTTTGCCTCTCTTTGTCCCTAATATAGATGGCACCAGTACAAGCATTGCAC